CACAGATTTGAGATGAACATAAAAACCATAACAGGCAACCATCAACAGGCCACCCCCCAGGCCCCCTACTTTCTCCATTTTTTCCCCCCCCCCCCCAATGGTATGGTCCCCCCACTCCCCCGCATCATCCGCATCTTGGGGATGATGCTGGCAATGCTGGGGATGCTGTCCACTTCGGTCCCAGGCCCCCTTTCACCCCGTGAACCAACACCCCCGCACCTCTCGCAACATCCTACCCTAAACCAAACCACCCTGCAACCCCTCCTTAACCCCAACCCTAAGCCTAAATCAACCCAAACCCCAAACCCACCCGAAACCCACCGCAAACCAACCCTGAACCAACCCTGAACCAACCCTAAACCAACCCACCAAGCCTCAACCAACTCCGAACCACACCCCAACCACCCAACCACCCCACCACCCCACCACCCCACCACCCCACCACCCCACCACCCCACCACCCCACCACCCCACCACCCCACCACCCCACCACCCCACCACCCCACCACCCCACCACCCCACCACCCCACCACCCCACCACCCCACCACCCCACCACCCCACCACCCCCCACCCCACCCCCCACCACCCCACCACCCCCACCACCCCCACCACCCCCACCACCCCCACCACCCCACCACCCCACCACCCCACCACCCCACCACCCCACCACCCCACCACCCCACCACCCCACCACCCCACCACCCCACCACCCCACCTTGGCCCAACCACCCAACCACCCCCACCACCCCACCACCCCACCACCCCACGGGGGGGGGGGGGTTGGGGGGGGGTGGGGGGGGGGTCCACGGCCTGGAACATATATCCTGCGTACTTATTATGTATATATGTACAAGTGTATATATATATACATATATATATATATATGGTAACCTGGAATACTCAGGTTTTTGGCCAGAGATTGGCATTTTGACTGTACACATGCATGCAAAACACACGTTCCAGCTTCTAAAAATGAGGCTCTAAAAATGCACTCCTTTTTAGACTTAAATTCTAGCATCGGTACTTAGGCACTTCGCGCACGTCAATGTGACGGTCACACAACTCGCAACTCCTTCAACGTTGAGCTTAACTTCTGCTCGGTGTGAATTTGCATGGAGTTGAGCGTCCATTCAGTTCTTTTCAGAGTCTCAAGGCATGTGTCACCCCCAGTCTGGCCAAACACCTCAGTTCTGGCCAAAAACTTCTATATATATATATATGTATGTATAGAAGTATGAAGATTCAACCTACAGGCAGTGACTAGTTCCGGCCCTATGCGAAGGAGGGACACAGTGTCGTACAACGCTGCCATTAGCTGCTGCGAGCGAGGTTCTGAGTGGCAGCAGGCGGCAGAAACTCGGGCCAAGACAGTCTCTTTCTCTCGAGCTTCGACATCGTTTTTGGAGGCGTTTGCCTGCTAAAAGACGGACGCGCCAATGTGGCCTGCTGGAAAACTGGAAAATGGGTTTTGCAGTTTGCCGAAAGGATGGCCCGCTGCTTCTGTTGAAGGAACTGCCAGCCTTTTCCAGCAGGACTCAGCCAGACGGCATGTCAATTGGGCATCCAGGCAATACATTGAATCATTCCCAGCCGCCCCCAGCCATAGTCGCGAGGTATTTGATTTGAACTTTCATGTCTTCATCGGTTCGTTGGCTGAGGTATGTATTTGCACCCCTGTTTGGTTGGAGTGAGGCGGGGCAACCCACCCCGCAACCGCTCCAAGCCTTTTGGGTGCGAGCCCAAGCTCAGTGTTGAGACGGCCAAGGAGCTGTTTGAGGCCATGGCGGGCCTGCAGGTTGCGAGGAGCACAATCTTCAGCTGCTCGGTTCACACGGGGTGCAACAAAACATTTGCATGGCGCCTTCTCCTCTTGTCAAAGCCGGGTGAAATCCCCCGGGAAGCTCGCGCATTGCATTGGGTTTCAACCTTAGGCCGGCTGCGCGTGTCAAGTCCCGGGTTGTTGGATGGCCGTGGTGGCCATTCGTCTCAGGATTGGAGTGACGCCAATTATGGATATCATGTATTCATTGGGATCGGCCCTGGTCAGAGGCGAAAAAGGTTGAGTTTGTAGTTGGTCACATGCTTGAAGGAACAAAGCGGCAAGCCCCCAGCGAAGACTCCGAGACACTCATCCGTTTCAGCTATTAAGAGAAGTGTGTGTGTGTGTGTGTGCAGCAAAGCCGGAGGTGGCATTTTTTACCCACTGTCATGGAGACAGGGAAGGTACCCTTGCAAGATCTGTTCTTCATTTTACCATGGCTAAATCACCCACGTATCAAGCTCCCCTCCCTGCAAGAGAACCACGAGGAGCTGGGCAATATGATGAATCAGTTTTCCAGCGACGCTGTTTGCGTGGAAGTATACGGTTTCGTTTGCTTGACCGGCCTGAGCGGTTTGTTGAATGGCTGGGTGAATGGCTGACCGGCTGCCTGTTAGGCAGCCAAGCAGCCAGCCAGCCAGCCAGCCAGCCAGAAGTTTGTTGGGCCGCGCTGCTGTCGGGGTCGTCATTGCGTGCGCAGGCGCCGGTGCGAAGCCCAAACAGTTCCGACCCAATTTGACCGCTCATGTTGGAAGCCGACGAAAGGCTCGATGATCAGCGCGTTGGAGAAGGGCAAGCAGTGGCAACTGGCTTTGGGCACAGAGCAGATGCAACACGGCAGAAATGCATTGAGCTGATTGAGTAAGTGCTGGAATAGGACGCCGGGCTGGTTGTTGATTTGTGAATTGCTGGCTCGCTCGCTCGCTCGCTCGCTTGAATGCTTGGGTGTTTCAAAAGACGGCAGAACGGAAGTTAGAGGTTTCCCCTGGGCATGCTCCCTGCAACGACTGAGTAGTCATTCAAAATGCAGTGTGTTTGAATGGGAGCCCTGGAACATCCGCGCAACATGCAATCTTTCGCTCAATGTTGACTCCATATTAATCAACCCCAGTTTGTTGATAGGGGGTGTCCCTGGGTTTAGTGGAGAATCATCACTTTTGGAGGGGAACACCCCCATGTTGATAAACTGGGGATATTAATATGGGGTCAACATTGATGGACACAATTCGACTAATAATTACAACCCGTCCCCAACCCTTCCCAAGAAGCGGCTGCATGCGATCCACTTCAGATTTTCACTGAGATGCAGCTGCCAGTTTGCAGGTCTGCCAAGAGTCTTTCTAAACTGTGGCCCGCCAAGGCATCACTTCAGCGTGGGCCAGGACGGTTGGCTGGTTTGGCATCCTGTTTCTCTTGCCCGACGAAAGGTCAGGTCTCAAGTCTGTCCGCCTTCAAGCACCTTTGCGCCCCCTACGCCCTTTTGCTTGCCTTCACAATGCTTCTTGACTACTAGGTCCCCCAGTAGTGCCCGTTTACCCCCCTACTAAAACAGACTACAGAAAAAAAAGGTACCCTTATTCTAACCTCTCTACTGGAGGACCTAGACTGTGAACCAGGAGCCAAACTTTGCATGATGCACTTGCTCTCCTCCTCGCCATGAATTGAAGCCGCCTTCCTCGGCAAGCACTGGTCGTTGGGGCACATGTGCGGATTTCAAGATGCATTTAAAGTGAAACTGACACCCTGAGTGGATTGACACTTGGCTCCCAAAATGCCACAATGATGCCACTTTGAATTACCCTGCGCAACGACAACTCTGGAAACCAACCAGCTTTGCCTGATGACGGGCAGACAGCTGAGAACATGTGTGAATTGCGCTTCGTCAGTTTTGCATGTTCTTCCCCGTGCCCCCAATGCGAAGTACGCTTTTGCAGAGCGACCGCTCAGCATGGCACAACCCTCATACTGCAGTGGCTGAAAGCCATTGCTCAGCTTCCTCGGAACCGCCCAACAGCATTTGACAACCCTTCCAGCATTGCCCGCACTTGTCTGACAGGGATGGTGTCCTGAAATGTCCTGCTTTGCTGAGGTTTAGTGGTCTTTTTAATGCAGATGTGCCCTTTTGCGCCCTTTTGCGCCCTTTCATTTTCTCGCTTGCCTTGAACCGTTAGGATGTCATCGTGTGGAATGCTGCCATCAGTGCCTGCAACTCGGCTGAGTCGGTCAAACGTTCCCAAGAGGGTTGTTTGCGCATGTTTATGCAAACCGCCAACGGGCTCGTGCAAACAGCATGCACACACACCCAAAATGGGTATGATGGATGTCCTCCTGACAAACTTTGCACTTCTCAAAAGACACCGTGTGCTTTCGGCTCGGGCGAAATTCGCTATGTGCAGATACCACAAGCCTTTATGATCAGCCCACGTTTGGTTTTGTGTGTTTGGGATAAAGGAAGGTGCTTCAAATGTCACACTGCTGATCGTCAACACACTTGTTCCTTGGAGGTTACAAGTTACAGATGGTTATAAGTTGTGTTTTTTTGACCACAAAGCGCTTGCCATTTGGCGAGATACGTTTGTCTTTGGCGGATAGAGGTCCGCTGGCCGGGCTGGAGCCTTTTTTGACACGTCACGGGAACCCACTGCTTTGTTCAGCTGGATGGCGAAGTAGTTTTGGCTTGCTTGGCAAATCTAATCCTCAACAGAGTTCTGCGACAGAGCATCGGGAACGTTGCGCTTACAGGCGGGGGCTTACGTACAGTAAGCTGCCCATCAGAAATCTCAAGGAGTGGTTGGCGTTCAACTGTTTCAGACACACTTTAGACAGGGCTTGCCAGCTTACGCGGGGACATCTTGTTCTACAGCGGCTTGCAATGTTGAGTACATCAGGTAAGCGTCTTGTTTTTGCTGCATCGCTTGGGCAGCGGCGGCTATCACGCTGTTCCCAACATGCTCTCTCGGCCGGCCTGCAGCTTTCGTCAGTGTCCTAGATGCAACACATGGATCTCAAAAGCTATCAAACTCCATGCCGCATCCATGCACTTCCTTTGTCAGATGTAGTACTGCCTGAGCTCGGGCGTGATGTTGTTTCAGCTTCAATGTTCATTGTTTCGAGTCCTTGGTGGGGGCCCGGGGCCCGGGCCCGGCTCGAAGAGCGCCGATGGATGCCATGCCTCGCGCCATGGTGCGCTTCCTTGCTGCCCTCGTGGTTTTAGAGCCTGGCATTGGCAATAAGAGCGGGTTTGGGGCTTGAAGACTCGATGTGCAGGCGGCAGCCCGAATCCCTAAGACCCACTGGGCGGGCGATTTTTTGGGCAAGGGACGGGGGCAAGCATCTTGATCAGTTGAAGCCTTTGTGGTGGGTTACCCGATCAGCCTGCTGCTGATGGTGTTTGCTGGTGGTGCTGGTGGTGGTGGTGGTGGTGGTGCTGGTGGTGATAATGATGCTGCTGATCATGATGAATGATGATGAGGATGATCACGATGCTGATGCTGATGCTGCGGATGATGATGCATGATACTGATACCGATTCTGGTACTTTTATCAACTGAGAATTTGGTTTGCTGCACATCTACGACAGAGAAGATGCCAATTGAATTGATATCGTGACTTCTGTCGACGGATTTGGATACGCTTAGATGTTCAGCAATGCTTTCAACAACTGTGGCTCTACCCCTTGTCAAGCAACCACCACGCACCCAAGTACCTTTCTCAGTTGTTTTTGGGGGGGTTCACTCATACAGCGTTTCCTTCATTTACCTTTTAGAACCTCCAGCAGTGGCAGTTTTGGTGGACACCACCAGTAAAATAATCAACTTTTGACTTGCGGACTCACATATTTGATCCCTCAATCTGGTGGTTGTCCTTTTGGTTTCCGTAAAAGACCCACCCAAAACAGGCACATTGTTTTCTCATTTTTGTTTTTGCTTTAAAGAAGAAGAAACACGCTACATCATTCATCCAACCCGAAAAAGAAGAAAGACGAGCCACCCATATTTGTGAGACTCACCTAATTACCCAAGGCAGGTATCGCGGCACCACCCCGAAAAAAAAAAAAAAAAGAAGGAAAAACAAGTAAAAAAAAAAAGAAAAAAAAGACGAGCCACCCATATTCGCGAGAACCACCCACCCCAAACAGCTACAGGCACCAACCCGAATTTGTTGGACGAGCCACAAGCGTGCGCCGGGCACCAAAGGACGTCGCCCGTGCCCACGAGCCGAGCGTCGACGTCATCGTGGTGGGCGCGGGCTACAGCGGCCTGGCGGCGGCGCTGGAGCTGAAGGCTGGGTCGGTCGGGGGTCTTCACGCCGCTTTTTGGATCGAGTCCGTGTTTTTCCTGTCCGGCTCAAGTGTTTTTGTTTTTCATTGGTTGTTCCCCACCCGACAGGAAGGGGTTGTTAGATTTTATGCTGGAATCCGCGTTTGCGATGCTTCTAAACCACGCCCCCACCCAGTTTCCCGCTAGAGCAGCTCGCCAGTGGATCCCGCCGAGTATCCCGCCAGAGCTGCTCGCCAGTGGATCCCGCCGAGTATCCCGCCAGAGCTGCTCGAGTGGATCCCGCGAGTATCCCGCCAGATGATCCCGCCAAGTATCCGGGATCCCGCCGAGTATCCCGCCAGAGCGGCTTGCCATTGGATCCCGCCCAGTGTCCCGCCAGAGCGGCTCGCCAGTGGATCCCGCCGAGTATCCCACCACAGCCCGCCAGCATCCCGCCGAGTATCCTGCTGAGTATCCCAGAGTAGCTCGCCGGCGGGTCCCGCCGAGGATCCCGCAAGAGTACCTCGCCAGTGGATCCCGCCGAGTATCCCGCCAGAGCAGCCGCCAGTGGATCCCGCGAGTATCCCGCTCAGAGTAGCTCGCCAGTGGATCCCGCCGAGCACCCTGCTGAGTATCCTTTGCCGGTGGATCCTGCCGAGTATCCGGCCAGTATCAAGCCGGAGCGGCTCGCCAGTATTTGCCAGTCGATCCCGCCAGTATCTCGCCAGAGCAGCTCGCCAGTCTGGTTTTGCTTAATGTCCCGCCCGGCGCACAGTTGGGTTGACATTTCACGTTGGTGCCTTCGTGCTTTGAGTGTACCCTGAGGCTCGGAAAGGGTGATGCTGTTGCGTTGCTTTGGGCTGCGAATAAGCAACTTCGTTTAATCCCCCGTCGGTTTTTTTTTGGAAGGGGCTTGGCTTTTGTTAACGGAACCGATGTTTGAGTTCTCAAGATCGGCTCGCATACAAGTGGAGTTTGACACACAGACAGGTGGATAAGGAAGCTTGTTGAGCAGTCGCAGGCCCCAAGCCACTCGAAAACCATGCTTGAATTCACACAACCGTGTTCACGGTCGCAAGCTCGTGAGTGTGGAGGGTGGGGATTGCTCGAAGCGAAGTATTGTTGGGTGTTTGTTTTTTTGGTGTTTCGGCGTTGTTCATGTTTTGTTGTTTATATATACTGTATATATGCTTGTGTCGGTTCTTTTCATTTTAGTAGGGGGCTGCAAACAACAGTGAGTTATTTTGCTACCATAGCAAGGGTTGTGGAGATGTTGCAAGTTATGGAAAATGGAGAATGTTCAAACTTCGACTCACTTCCTGAGTTCTGTTTCGGACTTTGGTCACTTTGTGGGCTGCCATTTTGGTGGTAAATGGGCAAGTGCAGATTGTTTTCTGGCAAATCCACTCAGGAAGTAAGTCGAATTCCGAATTGGAATTGGTTGGAAGATGGAGGATGTTGGAAGCTCCGCTTGTTGTTGAGGCCACTTTGTCCGACCAAACTCGTGTGACCTCTCAAGAGTTGTTGTTTTTCTTGTTGGCACAGTGATGTTTGCGTAGAACCTAAGGAACTACTCAACATCCCTGGCTGCTGGGTATCAAATTCCCATCCAGGAGTTCCCCTTGCCAGGAAGATTGGGCTTGTGATGCTTGGCTTCCTATTTCTTAAGGATAATTGTTCATTTCCCGCTGGTTTTAAAGTGAATCTATCACTACCGGAACTTGACTGCCACTGGGATGGATCTTTAGGTGTTCCACGAAACTCACCAAAAGTTGTCAACGTTTGGCATGGGGGTCAACAGCAACAAAGGGAACCTTGTGATTTTTTCAGGCGCGGAAAAAAAAATAGAACAACTTGGGGCTCCGCCCCTACCACGCCGCAGGCGCTGAACCACTCCTTCCTGGTGCTGGAGGCGCAGGGCCGCGTTGGCGGGCGCACGCTGAACCAAGACGTGGCTTGGCAGTTTTGTTTTCCTCGGCTCGTTTTGGAGGATTCTAGGTGCCCTTTCTCGCCCCTTTTTTGGGGGGAGGGATTGAAGGCCCGACCCCTCCAATAGATACCCCGGAGGGATTTTTGGGGGGTCTCAAGCCCGAAAGACATCAGAAGCCTCTGGGTGACTGGTTGGCCATGTAGCCTTCCTCACAGTTTTGGGCCGATTCATTGGCGACTCACGGGCCATTTTGGGAATTGCATTGCCGTTGCGGATGCTCCCTCTTATTCTTGCTTGGTTCACGTACCATGCCTGCGTGTGTCTTGCATAAACCCTGCTTGGTGGATCTTGCGCATGGAGCAAGGTGCCAGAATGTTCCGCGTTCCACTTTTGGATGCTGCACACCTTTCATCCAGGGCCTACTATTTTGCACCGGCTGCCAGGTCCCATCCTTTTGCCATGCTTGCTCTATCTCCTTGATGTGCCGCAGTGATAAACATGTGCGGATCAAATACTGTACGGCAAGCGGAACGGAGTCGGAACACCCCACGCATGATGAACATTGCTTCGGTGGGCAACTTGTCGTTATTATCAGATTGATCGACTGAATGAATTGGACAGGGGTTTGTTTGCATAGGTCTTGGTTGGGCTGTGAACGTTTGCTGAGCAAAATATGTTTGCCGCGACTACCCTATTTTGCTTCCCCATCATGTTCCATGCGCGCAAAGGACAAGCTAGACAAGGGCTGCACTGTGAGAATCACCCCCCTCCCTCAACCTGAAAGGGCCGAGCTTTGACGATAGTCACATAGCAAGGCTGGCTTTATGAACAGAGAAAACGACTGGACGGAGGAAGGGTTGACCGAGAGGCCTCAAGCGAGAAAACCGCGTTGGCCAAGGTGGGCGGCCGGGGAATGGCGGATGACGTGGTGGAGCTGGGTGGGGAATGGCTGGCAACGAGCCACGTCCACGCCATCAAACTCTTCAAGAGCCGCGGCTTCGAACTCTTTCACCGGCTCTTCAACGCGAAGAAGGCCGGCTCGAGGGAAATTTCGGTTTTTCCAGAGCGGGAAGCATCTTGAGTTGCTAGTTGAATTGGACTGCTTTGTTCTTTCCGGTTTGTACCAGATGGGAAATCACGTCAAGTTACTTGAATCGGAAGATGCTTCGTTCTTTTGCCACTTGCTGGCTGTTTCTTGCAGGGAACCGTTAACCCGTTTAAGACGGGTCCTTCAACCTGCGGGGTTTGCAAAATGGCTGGAGAAGCTGACTTGACTTCGTGGATCTTTGGGGGCTGGAAAGGCATTGGGGTTGCTTCCGCACACCGAGGACCCTGAGCATGTTGATTGCATTCAATTGCTATGGCTGCAATGGATCTTCTAAATCGATTTGTGTTTGAATCATAATTTATTCACATCATTTCATGCATACAATATGTAGTATGTTTTGCTTCATCTAGAAGTTCTTTTGGCTCCCATGTACAAATTACATATGCTCGGACGACTGTGGCCCGTTCGGAGCTTGCAGATTCCATCGGCTGTATCCGCGCCACTCGTTCTGTGGAGGACTCCGCGACGCCTCCGTGCGCTGGGAACTGCAGCGTGCGGGTGCGCGCCACGCAAGGCGACGAGTGGCAACTTGGGATCCCCGTCGGGGATCAAACGCGGAGTTCAGACCTTGTGGAAAGCACATAGGCGTTGTAGGGGCAAAATGGATCGAGTTTGGGGTTCCGCAACCTTTTTTCCCTGGAGTCTCAGACCTCCTTGTCGAAAGCACGTACGTGTTGTATGGGCAAAATGAAGTTTGGGCTCCGCAACTTCCTTTCCTGGCTTGCGGGTCATGGTGCAAGCGAGGTATTGCCTTCTGGGTTCCATTGTGCGTTTGATGATGCGGATGATTTCAAGGTTCTGCGTCGTTGCCTCACAGGCATCCCTTGTCGTTTGTCACGTGCTGCTCGGAAAGTCAAGAACGTGATGTCATGCTGTGTTTTGTTTTTAAGGAATGATTGGGGGCTTGTTGAGGGAGGTGGGTTGTGTTTTGCAATCGAAACTGGATTGGCGTACCGCATCCCACTTACTATTGAACCTGGCAAAGGATGTGCCTCCTCCGGGATCGCTCCCTTAGCATCATTTGGTGCATGCGCTACAAAGGCCTTCTTGCAAGGCATGACGTGTTAGGACGGCAAGTGGCTGTCAAGCATACATAGACCCAATGACAATCGTCCAAACAAAATCACGGAGCTTTCTTTGAGGGAACGAGCATGTCACCAAGGTCTGAGCCAAAACAGACAAGTTTCTCCTTGTTTCTCCTGAATGGCCGAGTTAGAGCACGCACATTGCTGCCACACTGGTCTTGAAACCGTCCTTGGAGGCAGAGCGCGGACACGCCACTGCGACAAAGCGTAGGTTGGCGCAAAGAACCAGAACCTCTGCACGTGAATTTCCGGCCAAGCATGAAAAACCTGACAGGGGCCTTGAGGGAAGAGTGTGTCAAGCAGTTGCCTAGTGTCCGCGTCAGTGCGACGGCCAATGTTGACCCTATATTGATCAACCCCAGTTTGTTGATAGGGTGCGTGTGAGCTGGAATTAGCGGGGAATGATCACTTTTCCCCCATATTGATAAACTGGAGTTGGTTAATATGGGGTCAACATTATTCAATCGCCGGATTTCCAGGGCAAGGCTTGTGGCTGCAGAGATCCATGCCAGGCTGGAGGAACGTGTCGTCTCCGGACATGGCGGTGAAGCTGCTCAGCAAAGGCGAGCTGGCGCGCTTCTTGGCCAACTCCGGCCTGCCGGCTGGTCAATGGCCCGCCTGCTTTGAGAAGATGCCAGTACCAAGCTCAAACCACCCAGTTGCCCAGTGGATTCCGCCCCTTTTCCAGCTTTTTGGCTGGAAAGGTTCTCCCTTTAAAATCAACCAACCACTGGGCATCTGAGACCAAGGCTGAGCCTCTTTCGGTCATTTCCTTTTTGGGCAACCTCTGGACAGGTTTGAGCGGCTCAATGAACCGGGGAGAAAAAAGAAAAGAAAACCCGAGCCACGTTTCTCCAGACTTGAGAATTCCTGCATGGAAGCCATGACCATGTGCATGACACTGGCAGATTCAAATTTGTGGAGCTGTGCGATTTTTTGGCATTTGTTTAGTAGCTTCCAGATGATGGTTGGTGTGTCCAAGACAAGAGATACAAGAGATACAAGAGAATGCCGTTGCAGAGTTCTCGAGAGCCATTTGGCTTTGTTGGAGACTGCGCGGCCTTGCTTTTGCGTGCACTGTCCCTCGCAGGAAGAATTGGCACAAGGAAGATGTCCCGTGTTTAGTGACGGGCACAGTGGGATGCCAAACTAACTGCTTTAGCCACCCTTGTTGAGCGTCGATTTCTCTAATCCACAGGCCTCTCCACAGTCAGTGGCATTGGAAAACAGCCCGGCGTAGAAGTGACTCATGACATTCGCAAGCCACAAGGTTCTCACGACCAAACCAGATGTTCTCCAGGTTACCTCATGTCAGACAAGGAGGTGCAGCGGGAGATTGCGCGGACGCCGTGCGGGGCACCTTTTAGCAACCCCAACGCCAGCATCCTGGACTCGTTATCCTACGATGCCGCTCGCACAACAAAAGAGCATTGAACGCTTTCTGGCGCTGGGACGCCTGCGAACATGCCTAATTAGTTGCATGGGCTCGTCATGGTGACCTTGGAGTTGTGTGGGAGTTGAGCAACTTTGTGGCGAAGCCATGCCCCTGCGAAGTGAGAGCTTCATTGCGATTAGCAGTGGTTGAAGCAGCTTGGCCCCCCTTGTTAGAACGCGCGCAGATTTTAGACGCGCAGGTTGTGTATTCGCAGTGGGCATGTCAGGCCTACCTTCGGCTGGTGAGGGGCCTGTCTGGGTCCCCGATGGCATACAACCTCCTCTACGACTATGCGGATGATGCTGAAGCCTTGAGCTTTGGCTCACAGTTAGGTCGTAGAGGTTTGACCCCATATTCATCAACCCCAGTTCATTCATAGAGAGCAGGGTTCCACTTTTTGACTGCCCATAGACTCGAACCCGGGGCTTCTCCTTCTTGGGGTAATGAAAAAAAAACCTGGGTTTAAGTCGACCCTGGGGTAGTCAAAAAGTGGAACCCTGGGGGGGGAGGTGTCCCTGGCTTTAGGGGGGAATCATCTCTTTTGGAGGGGAACCCCCCCCAAAAAAAAAACTGGGGTTGATTAATATGGGATCAGCATTGGGTCAACTGACGCTTGACCTTTGATGCAGGGCAGCGGGCATGAGCTCACAGAGCATGTTGATTATCATGTTTCAAAAAGTGTGCTTAGCAGGGATTCCTACTGCCTAGCCTACTAGCCAGTGGTCCAGGGTTGTTGTTAGAGGGTCTGAGAGGGATGCAAGCCGCTTGAAAGCAGCACGAGTGAGTTCATTTGAAGCTCCTGCATGACTTGTGAATGCAAGCACGTTGGCCAGTGGAGGCGAGTGCTGACTGCATGTATCTCACTTGCTGGAATAGTGCCGCTTTCCTTGTTTGTTATGGTATCCAGGTGGTGCGCTTTCAATGTTTGGCTAAGGAACCCATGTGATGTAAGGGACCTTTGCTGAGAAAGAGAGTTGCTACACGCGACATATTTGGATAAAAAGTGTCGAATTTCCCAGTTGTTCAGTTCAACAAGAATACCGAACACCCTGGAAGTACAGGCCGTTCAGCTGGCCAACTGCAAGGCATACTTGTCTTTGGTGAGAGGTCCATGCTGGCCTCAGCCTCGGCCAAGCAGTAAACCTCTTGAACCTGGATTCCAACCAAACCCAACCCACGCGGCCCTACGAAAGCCCTAAGGCAGATAAGGAGCAAAATCAACCTCCAGACCGGGTTGACATTTCTTGCTGGTGCTCAGTAGGGAAGGACCCGGGTTTTTTTGGGAATGAACCCAGGGATTCCCTTAAAGGAAACCATAGCCACTCCAACTCATTCCCTGCTGAGAACCAGCAAGATTGAATCAGTGGAGCTCCTTGCAGGACCCAGATGTCCGCGCTGGGCATCTTCTGGGGCTTGAACTGCTCCCAGTCCATGGAGGGATCTTCCGACGAGGACGGGTCGGGTTCAGCGAGGTGAGTCCCTTGAGCCGGCCAAAAGAGAGTTGAAGAGTGGCCGCCCCAGAGGAAGTGAGGCTTCAACGAGTTGCATGCTGCGTTTGGTTTCCCGTTTTTTTCCACAGATCTTGTCCTCATTGGGATGTTTCTCTCTCGGCCAACAGCTCCCAGTCTCCCAGCTCCCACATGCTTGTCCTCATTCGGATTTTTCTCCCAAGGAGCCGCTTGGCCCACGGCTCCTTGCTCCCACCGGCCGGCCGAGTTGCCTATGGCAGGACTATTGGCGCATCCGTGGGGGCTCCCAAGCCCCAGCCATCACGTTGGCCTCAGAGCTGGGCCCAAACCTGCGCCTCAACAGCCGGGTGCTGCGCATCACCCGCGACAAACATGGCCAGGCGCTGGGGGGGACGGGCGGAGATGAGCTGACCGGGTGAAATGCGCCCAGAACGGGTGAAGTGCTTTTGCCTTACTTCACTGGTCTTGGATCAAGTTGTTTGGTGTTTGGCTTGTTGGTTATGTTCATTCTTTGCAGGGGGGGGGCTGCAACAAAACGGTCAGTTTTTGGCTACCATACCAAGGGTTGTGAAGCCTTTTGGCGCGCGGCGCTTCTTTTGCGTTTTCCACAAGCATTCACTTAACAGTTGATGCAATTCGTGGCTTTGGGGTCCCAGAACTTGCTGTCAGTCGTAGGCTTGGATAGCAGGTGCTTGGTCTGGCATTCTTTTTGATAGGTCTCTGGGACAGAGTTCTTGTCGAGAATTCAGCGTTTTGAGTTCCTTGGTGCGTGAGATGTGGAATGTCAGTGAAGGAGGGCGGCTGCCCAATCTAGTCAGGGCTTGGTTCCATCTTCCAATTTCACCAAAATGGTGGTTTTCTTGTAGGCTTCCCTTGTTAGAACCACCAACTAAAAGGGTATCCTCCCCCAAGGTTAACATGGAAGCTCCCAGAAACCCTTGGGAAGACTGGGTTCCATTTACAGAGGCCGTCTGGAAGCTGGAAAGCAGGGAGTATCGTCAAAAATGGACACACCCATATGGCCATTAATTTTAAGAGTTGGAACCACCTCAAAAGGGTTTTGGTGGACATACATACACCCCCACCAAAATGATGTCCAGCAAAGGGCCCCTTATTGAAATTCATACCCATGTTTACACCTTGTTGCATTTTGCTTGGATGTTAGGACTTCAACTTTTTGCCAACTAGCGGGTTTTCCGTGTTAAACCACTCAAAGTTATTCACTTTTAGCAGGGGGAGCAGATTTCGCAACCGAATACACCTCTCCAAAGCCCCTGGTTTTCCCTTCGTTTCCAGGTGGTTGAGAGCAGCAGCGGCACCTATCGCGCCCGGCAGGACGGGACCCCCTTGGGCCGGCAGGAGAGGTTTCCCAGTTGCCCACAAACCCCGGGAGAAAAAAGGGAACCCTTCAGGGAGTCGAACTGACCCGAGCAAGTCAATGGTTTGGGCGTTTCTCAAGATAGGAGTTGTTTTTGTTGGATGGGAACCTTTTTGGGAGGCATCGGTTCGTTTTGTGGGTCCGGAACACCACAGGCAAAAAGGACAAGGTCACAAACAAATGACCCCAGCAAGTCGGTGATTTTGGCGTTTCTCAAAATCTGGTCCCCGTTTTGGATGGTTTTCAGGGGAACCAAAAGGAAACCAACAATGTGAGTTCTGAAGGGGTCAACAAGCATACACACACACACACAACGGTGAGGCACAATCATATTTGCTATCGCTGTGAAATCTAGCGTGAGGTTTGTCTAAGCAGCCTCGTGAGCACCGTTTGGGTCCAAATGCGCGTGTCAGTCTTCATTTGGACTTAAATTGTATGACTCTTCCCTTGAGCGAGGTATGCCTTGCGCACAGCCAGCATCAGACTCGCTTTCTGGATTGGGACAGCAGCTATTCA